TCCACTTGTTAATAAAAAAGTGCCAGGTTTAATGAAAGATGAGAATAATGGTGCGATAATGACAGAATTCGTAGGACTCAGAGCGAAGATGTACGCGTTGAGGGTAGACGGTAAGAAAGATACAAAGAAGGCTAAAGGCGTAAAGAGTAACGTGGTAGCGCGAACGATAACGTTCGACGATTACACGCGGTGTCTCAACGATGAGATAGAAATGACCCGCCAACAGACTTGTATAAGATCGAAGCTGCATGAGGTGTACACTGTAGCCGAAACGAAAATCGCTCTGAGTCCGTACGATGACAAGCGATACGTTGTGCCTGATTCTACAGAAACGTTGCCATGGAGACATTATAAAATACCGTTGTAAATATTTTATAAATTCGTTTTTGTAAATTCATTTTATTTGTAATCAGCATAGATATATTTTATCAACATAGATTATAATAAATTTGTAATCAGCATAGATATTACAATAAATGTATGTTTACAAAACATTATCCGTGCATATCCACGAATTATTGATTTATTGAGTCCCAACCATTTCACGTAAACCTCATTTCCTCTTTTCCGTAACACTTTCTCAACGAGGTACACATCGGGATTAGCTACACATTGCAACTCGTGTTCATAGAATCCTCCAGCGATGGGTTTTCCACAGGAATCCTCCAGTATATACGTCACGGGATTAGTTTTCTGCACTTTGCCGATTTGAAACACCTCCGTCGACCAATTTGGTGTGTAACCTTTTTCAAAGATGGTCTTAAATTTACTCACGCGTACTGGGTCACCCAATCTGAATCGTGCGGGTGCAGCAATCTTTACGCGGCTGTACACCGTCGTCAACAGTTTGTCAGCGATCGCGGGCGTGACGTCGATGGGCCGCATACCTATAGTCCGATGCTTTCGCGCGTTGTAATCTGATACGAGACGTGACAGCGCGTCGATCCATCTATAGTTTCCATTTAATGTAAACATCTTCCACATATCGTTCTTTAGCGTGCGATTGAATCGTTCGACAACCGATGCCTTCATCACGGAATAGGTAGAATAATGGTTAATGTTATGTTTCTTCAAGAGTTTCTGCACGTTCGCATTGTAAAATTCCTTTCCATTGTCAGTTTGTAAATTTTTCGGACATCTTCCATCGACCCGAATTATCTTTGCGATTGCCGCAGTAACTTCGCATCCGCTCTTGGCCTTGAGCGGTACGGCCCATGCATGCTTGCTCAGCACATCGATAACAGTAAGTTTGTATGAATTTCATCACGAGTACATGTTACCTTTATATAGCAACAGATGTAAAATTATGTACACCGACACGGATAGCCTTATATACCACATCCAGTGCGAGGACGTGTACGAGACGATGAAACATGATATTCATAGATTTGACACGAGCGATTATCCAACAGATAACGCGTACGATATTCCACTTGTTAATAAAAAAGTGCCAGGTTTAATGAAAGGCTACATACTTATGTAGTGGTAGCCTCTGTTGAATCGCGTGTAAGGACGCATCTCGACAACATCAGCCTGCCACAGGTCGTCGTACCCGAGCACTATGACACGTCTTCACGGAAAATTTCTTCTCGCTGGAGCGTGCAGTTCCTTCACTAATTGCCACTTCTCAGATGTTGTCCTTTCAGCCATGAGCAAATTATTTTAAACGGGAACGGGACAGGAGCCGATCGTATATCGAACGGAATGAGGATCGATTGTATGTCGACCGGGAACGCACATTCGCGTAACGTACGTTGAACGGGAACGGAACGAGGATCGATCGTATGTCGATCGGGAACGCACGTTCGCGTAACGTATGTTGAAACGGGAACGGAACGGGGATCGATCGTATGTCGATCGGGAACACACGTTTGCGTAACGTACGTTGAACGGGAACGGAACGAGGATCGATCGTATGTTGATCGGGAACACAACATGTTGCGACGTAAATATAGTGGGCCCACTACGAAGCCTTGCCGAGCGAGGCTTCTAGAAAAAACCAAGCGCCCTTCGGACCTTTGGTCGAGCGCTCTAATCTCCCGATAGGGAAAGAATAGAGGAATGCTTGAGTCACCAGTAATGTATCTTCCGATGAGGTTCGAGTCATCGACCCAAAGGTGAATCTGATAAGCGCTTGTTCTAGAACGTTCGAAGCCGCGACGGTCAGTCGTCACAAAGAACTGCGGACATATATATATATATAGGGCCAACGGTCACGGCAGGACACTTCAAAATCGTCCTCCGTCGAGTAAAGATCGAGCCCTTCTCCGCGTTCGCCGCTAATTGTAAGATATATCGAGGCCGAGCCCTCGCGTTCGCGCGTTTGAACCTACCAGAGACCGAGCTCTCTGGTAATATATATCGAGACCGAGTCCTCGCATTTGTAATTTAAATAAACAATCGAAAAACAACGAAACTAGTGTATGGATTGAACTCCCACACACGCAACATTTTGGTGCCTCCTGTGAGGTCGTTCACAGTACGAACGTGAACGACCACCGTAAGAACATACTGATTGTCGAGCGAACAGCGACTAAGAAGGAAGGACGATCAAGGCGATCACGACTTCAGGACTATAACATTGGCTCTTGCAACCAATCGCACAACCCTCAGGACGAGTTACGCAACGAGATCAAGGCTAAGGGCAAGTCCATTCCAAATATAAATCAAGTGGCCGATTAAGCAATTTCCGTTACCTACTCCCAAACGACAATATGGCAGGTCGAATTAAGTTATTAATTCAAAAGCGAACGTCGTTAAAATCTCAAATTACGGGTTTGACGAATCTGGTTGAGAGAGGCAGTTACGATAAGGCCGCGTTAAGGTTAAGGATGGCGCGCACAACCGACTTGTATCACGCGTACGAAGAATTTAACGACGAGCTCGTACTATTAGATCCGAACGACACTCATAAAGACGAATTCACTAACGTACAGGAAAGATTTTATTCACTCGCAAGTAAAGTGGAAGAGATAGTAAGTTCCACCGTTTCGACCGCGAGTACCGGTGTCACTATTAGCGCGTCGCAACCCAGCGGTTCTGAGACCACGGCGATCGTAAAACGGCGAGTAAAATTGCCGGAAGCGTCTCTACCGAAATTTGACGGCCAATACGAGAATTGGCTGTCCTTCAAAAATACTTTTCTCGTTATGATCGATTCACAAACAGACTTGAGCGAAGTACAAAAATTGCAATACTTAAAATCGGCGTTAACGGGCGAGGCAGCTAATAAATTAAAGATTCTATCGATCGAAGGCTCAAATTATCAAAAGGCATGGGAACTGTTGAAACGCTCGTACGAAGTAAAGCGGATATTAATTTCACGCCACCTTTCGTTGCTCTTAAATACACCCGTTTTAGAAAAGGAGACAACCGACGGCTTGTCCAAGCTTGCCGATGACACGCAGCAACATGTAGCATCGTTAGCCGCGTTAGGAGTTGACGTGGGGTCCGAGATACTTGTAAACGTACTAGAAAGCAAATTACCTAGGATCGTAGCGGAGAAATGGGAGGAATCTCTGGATCGGGACGAATTTCCGAAGATTGACGATCTATACGAATTTTTATACAGAACCGCAGTTCGTATATCTAAGCGTGTTCGCGCAGGAACGACCAGACAAGCCGAGGACAAATCGACACCTCCCGGGAAAAAGGCGCGAATATCCAACAAGGCATTTGTGGTTAATATTGCGAGTAATTGCCCAGCGTGTAAAAATAAGCAACATCCGTTGTTTGCGATTGAGCGAGGATTTCTCTTGGGTATTCTCGATGGTTCTAAAATCGAGGGTGCCCGGGAGGAGTGTCGCGTCCACGGCCGAGTCCCGTGAACGGCGCGTGCCGGCGCGCCGGCCGGGCTCACCCGCGAGCGAGCGACGCTCTGTTGACGACCCCGGTGTCTACAATTTCTTTACCCGGACATGCCATAGCTACGTGGCTATCCTTGGTGGATTCGAAGCGAGGATCGTGTGATGCCCTTTCAGCCAATGGGCGTCGCTCGCTCGCCGTTGATCGCCGATCCGAGCGGCTTGCGGGCTCTCGGTTTGAAGTCAGTCGCAAGATATTTAGCATACAGTCCACTTCTGCGGATCGTCTCCGCGGGGGAGAGAGTTCGCCGGCGGGCCGATCGGGCGAAATACCCGCCTGAGAGTCGCTTAGTGCTCGGGCCTTCGCCGCGAGTTCGCTCCTTCCGCGCAGAGTGATCCCAGTCTCGCCACCGTCTCTGTTTTTTTTTCTTTCTTGTAATTGTTCGCGTTCCTCGAGCGGCCTCATCCGCGGTCGCGAAGCCCCGTCGTCGCGCGTCAAGATCTCCGTCGCCGCGTTCAAGATTGTCCGGCGATCGGGCGTCGAATTCCGCGCCCGCCGAAGATCTCCGTGCGCGTTTTCCGGACGACATTCGCGGGGCTTTAAGAAGATCTCCGCGCGTTTCGCGTTGCGACCGCTCGAGTGAGCAATGGTGATGGTCGCTGTTGGTTGCGACAAAAAGGAATAAATTGAATTTTGGAGACGCCATCGGGCTACAGTTATTTGTGCCTGAAGACCTTTTCCCTGCATCTTGTCCCCTCGCGCCGTGACGAGGACGGCGCGAGCCCGCGCGGTCGCGTCCATCGCTGGGCGAGGAAGCAGCTCCCGCGCTCACGGGCGAGCGACCAGCAGCCGACGGCAGCCGATCGGCGGCGTCTGGGTGCGTTCGCGTACATCCGTTATTTAAGTGTGACAATTTCAAGCAATTATCTGTGCCGAAGCGCATCGAATGCGTGAAAAACGCGATGCTTTGTTATAACTGCTTACGTTCACATCGTGGTAAACCTTGCAATTATTCACACTGTACCATTTGCCAAAGGCGACATAATACGCTTTTACATCTTGAGAAAACCCAAGTCGCATCCACGACAACAGACGCGACGGTCGTCAAAGGGGAACAAGGCGCATGACGTATAAAGGGGGGTGGTCACGCAACGACGTGTCTCGCAGCGATCACACCCATTTTCACGCCACAATTGATGACCACCGCGACGATATTTATTCGGGATCGTGAACTCAAGTTAATTAAGTGTCGCGCCTTGTTGGATACATGTGCTACCGCCAATTTCATTTCCGAGGGTCTCGCGAGACGTCTAAGGCTCCCTATAACAACATGCGCATTGCCAGTCGGCGCAATCAATTCAATGAACACGATTTCGAAAGGCGTCATTCGAATCACTATTCAATCACTACACAGTGAGTTCCGCAAGGACTTGCAATGTTTGACAATCCCCGTAATATCAGACCTAGTTCCGTCGGAAATTTTCCCGCGAGATTCCATCACAATACCGTCCAATATAAAATTAGCTGATCCAGAGTTTCATTTGCCGCGTCCTGTTGATTTGCTGATTGGTGCGGGGGCGACATTGTCATTATTCTCCATAGGCCAGATCAATTTATCGATACGAGATAACGATTTACATCTACAAAAGACGTGTCTCGGCTGGATCGTTGCGGGCGGAAGCGCGTCGCGGAATCAACCGAAAACTGCGATATGTAAATTAACTGGTCTAGATCAACAGATCGCGAGATTTTGGGTGATTGAGGAGATATCTGATCCCACCGATACGCCGAAATCTAACGAGGAAATCGAATGCGAAGAGCACTTCACTAAATTTGTTACTCGTAACCGCGACGGTCGATATACAGTGAGACTACCATTTCGCAGGGACAAGATGAGCCTCGGCGACTCGCGAACCGTCGCGCTCAAACGTTTAAATTCGCTCGAACGGAAGCTCGACTCAGATCCATTGTTAAGGGCCGCCTATTCGCAAGTAATACAGGAGTAGTTAGATCTGAAACAGATGATTCCGGTGAATAACCCTTCCAATGAAGGATTTTATATGCCGCACCATGCGGTAATCAAATCATCGAGCAGCACGACCCGGGTTCGTGTCGTGTTCGATGCATCGGCAAAAACGAGTAATGGCACATCGTTAAACGATAGGTTGATGGTGGGGCCGACTATTCAAGATACGTTATTCGTTCACTTAATTCGATTCCGTACGTATAAATATGTTCTCACAGCAGACATAGAAAAAATGTATAGGCAGATATTGTTGCACGAGGATGATCAGATGTACCAACGAATACTCTGGCGCCAGAACGATCAAATAAAGACTTTGCAACTTAACACCCTTACATTCGGCGTATCCTCGTCGCCGTATCTGGCTATACGAACCATTCAAAAACTAGCCGATGATGAGCACGACGCGTATCCTGACGCCGCCCGAGTTCTCAAAACGCACTTATACGTAGATGACTTACTTACAGGTACGAATACCGTTAGCGAAGCTCGCGCGTTACGGGATGACATAATCACGGTACTTTCTCGAGGCGGTTTTAATATCCGACAATGGGCGTCGAACGACGAACGTATCATTAACGATTTAACCCCCGATGCGGTGAATACTAATCTCATGCTCGATAAAAACAACCCCTTGAAAACATTAGGCATAGCATGGCGCGCACACAACGACAAGTTATGTTACTCGGTCCGCTCGATCGAGCACGCCGAAAGAATCACAAAGCGAACGATTTTTTCCGAAATCGCGAAGATTTTTTATCCTTTAGGCATCTTAGGCCCTGTCATATTATATGCTAAAAAATTGATGCAGAATTTATGGCGGTGCAAGGTAGATTGGGATGAGTCCGTCCCATCCAATATACACAAAACGTGGATAGAGTTCGCAACTCAATTAGATTTAATGAATGAATTATCCATTGATCGCCATGTATTGATTTCGGATTACACCGATGTTCAAATACACGGATTCAGCGACGCGAGTAACATCGGTTACGGTGCCTGCATTTACCTTCGTTCGACCGATCAACGCAACAATGTACGTTGTCATCTACTTTGTGCGAAATCTCGCGTCGCACCATTAAAACCCGTGACCATACCGCGTCTCGAATTATGCGGTGCGCTCCTGCTAGCCAAATTATATCGCGAGGTGCATCGTGCGTTAGGAATATCCCCTAGCAAGACGATGTTATGGAGTGACTCGACTATTGCGTTACATTGGGTGAAAACTCCACCTCATCTATTAAAAACGTATGTGTCTCACCGCGTTGCTCAAATTCAAGAAATTACGGACTCACAAGCGTGGCGACATATCCGATCAGAGGATAACCCGGCCGACGCGCTATCACGGGGTCAGTTACCGCAGGCTTTCCTGAATAACCAATCATGGTTTTCCGGACCATTGTGGCTAACGAAAGATGAAGGCAAATGGCCTAACGGTATCATAGAATTAAGGGAATTACCCGAATTACGAAAAAATATATGTATAGCGACGGTTTCTAACGATTGTAGCTTCCTTAAGAAATATTCGTCATATTCACGATTACTAAGAGTTACAGCATTATGCCTCCGTTTTCGACCAAAGAATACTTACCGCGGGCAGCTAGGCACAACGGAAATAAATGACGCGGAAACGAGAATTATAAAAATCATTCAAGAATCTTGTTTTTCACGCGAATTGAATGAACTTGCGAATGGGCGCCCGGCAAAGAAAAGCAATATTGCAGCGCTAAATCCGTTTCTCGACGAAAATGGTTTGATTCGCGTCGGCGGACGCCTCAGACTATCAAGGTTAGCCTTCTCGCAAAAGCACCCAATTTTACTACCAAGTCATTATTTCTTAACGGATTTAATTATAAAAGAAACGCATGAAAAATACTACCACGCCGGCATACAAACGACTTTGTATACAATTAGACGCAAATTTTGGCTACTCGACGGTCGAAACCAGGTGCGTAAAATCATACGATCATGCATACGTTGCTTTCGATTCAACGCCGGCTCGGTCGATTACAAAATGGGCGATTTACCTAAATCCCGAGTGAGTAACACGACTCCCTTCGATAATACCGGGATCGATTTCTGCGGCCCTTTCTACATTAAGGAGAAAAAGTATCGAAATCAAAAGCGGATCAAAGTATACGTGTGTGTGTTCGTATGTATGGCCGTAAAGGCAGTACATTTAGAAATCGTAAGCGACATGACCACCGATGGTTTCTTAGCAGCCTTGCGTCGCTTTATAGCGAGACGAGGGATACCGACACGCGTCTACTCGGACAATGGAACTAACTTTGCAGGTGCGAATAATCACCTGAGAGAACTATATGTTCTATTCAACTCCGATGAACACAGGAATCGTACGAATCGATTCTCGGTTGAACATCACATTACGTGGCATTTTATACCTCCCATAGCTCCACATTTCGGTGGACTATGGGAATCCACTGTAAAACTATTTAAACATCATTTTAAGCGTGTTGTCGGTGAGCTCTTGTTTACATTTGAGGAACTGAATACCTTTACTATAGAAGTCGAAGGAATATTAAATTCCAGACCCATCTGCGCTCTCTCATCCGATCCCAATGATCTGTCTGTCCTTACACCTGCACATTGCTTAATCGGCAGACCACTGATTAATATGCCCGAGCCTGATCTCTCGTCTGTCCCAGCCAACCGTCTGTCCACCTGGAAGCACACCATGAAGGTGCGACAAGATTTCTGGGCTCGCTGGAACCTGGAATATGTCAACGAGCTCCAAGTCCGTACTAAATGGACTAAAGACAGAGAAAAAATCAGCGTCGGAACAATCGTCCTCATCAAGGAAAAGGGCCTTCCCTGCGGTCAATGGGCGCTAGGGAGAATCGAAGAAATCCATCCAGGACAAGATGGAGTGGTGCGAGTCGTTTCCGTGAAAACGGCAACCGGAACATTAAAGCGAACCGTGAAGTGTCTATGTCCACTTCCCTTCGATCAATAATTTAAGCGAATATTCAACTGTAAACATCTAATTGTAAATTGTCTTACCGATGTAGGGCAATTAGATGTACATTAAGGTTGATCAGTACCCTCTCAACGGGGGGAGTATGTTGCGACGTAAATATAGTGGGCCCACTACGAAGCCTTGCCGAGCGAGGCTTCTAGAAAAAACCAAGCGCCCTTCGGACCTTTGGTCGAGCGCTCTAATCTCCCGATAGGGAAAGAATAGAGGAATGCTTGAGTCACCAGTAATGTATCTTCCGATGAGGTTCGAGTCATCGACCCAAAGGTGAATCTGATAAGCGCTTGTTCTAGAACGTTCGAAGCCGCGACGGTCAGTCGTCACAAAGAACTGCGGACATATATATGTATATAGGGCCAACGGTCACGGCAGGACACTTCAAAATCGTCCTCCGTCGAGTAAAGATCGAGCCCTTCTCCGCGTTCGCCGCTAATTGTAAGATATATCGAGGCCGAGCCCTCGCGTTCACGCGTTTGAACCTACCAGAGACCGAGCTCTCTGGTAATATATATCGAGACCGAGTCCTCGCATTTGTAATTTAAATAAACAATCGAAAAACAACGAAACTAGTGTATGGATTGAACTCCCACACACGCAACACAACACGTTCGCGTAATGGAGAGATTTAACTTATTGGTGATGAGTCATACGCTGAATCATTTCGTGAAGTTCGTTTATCATCAAATCTTCATACATTTAAGCGACCTACACTGGCTAGTGTTTTTTATTTAAAAACGAATGTTACAACGTTTCGGCCTTGGATTTGGGCCCTTTTCAAGTGTTCTGAAACGCAAATTACAAATTTGTATACGGAGCTGAAGGCTTATCATAATGCAACTCTAAATTACATACCTTAGTGAATAACTGCGTCAATTATTCAGTTGTTTGGCCAATACCATTGCCATGTGTCAAACTGAGTAAAGACAAGAGAGAGTCAATCACCATGAAACAAGCCACAAACGTGTTCAGTAAGACTTACATATTGGTCAATTTGATTCCCTGTTCTTTGTTAGAAGAAAGGTGAGTGCATTTAAATTGCCACATCTTGACTCGATCATGTCCGGATCTGAACTGATTAGCATTGTCTGTATCTGGTTTATTTTGACGAGAGGTCGCGTTAGATTAATAAATAAATAGGAATGAACTTGTCATGTACACAAAAATTATAAAGATCTATCGGAACCAAGAAAGTCAGATGTTTTCAAGGACTTTATTATATACCGGATTTAAGTTTTCTGTGTCTCGTTTTAAATTAATTGTATTTTTGTGTTTTTTGATAAAAATCATTTCGGCAACCTCCCGTTTAATTTTATGTTTTTCGACT